AATAATGAGTTTTAAAAAGTATTTTATAGTTATTTTTAATCGATCATAGTATATCTGTTCTTTAAATTTGGCTGTGTTATAGGTGTTTCTCATTAAATCGTCACAAAGGCTTAAAATTGGATCGCTTAAATTTTCACTTTGATGATACGACATACTCAATATTTCGAAATTTTTTATATTGAATAAGCATCGTATAAAATTTTTATTTATATTCGAGAAATAAATACCTTTGCTTGCAAATTTAGTTAAAATAATTTTTTAATTACAGGTTTTTATTTTTATTCGAAAAATGGCTTTGTTTAATTACAAATTTTGCAATTGTCTAGCCTTATTCATTTATTTGCATACAATCTTAACCACAATCGCCCACAATTATAATTGCATACAAATACGATCATGATCGTAATTGCATACAATCATAATCACAATCGTGATTACATACAATCGCGACCACGATCGTAATTATATACAATCGCGACCATGATCGTGATTACATACAATCACGACCACAATCATGATTACATACAATTGCGACCGCAATCATGATTGCATACAAACACGATTATGATCGTGTTTGTAAATAATGAACTATCAATCTATAAGCAAGTTAAAATATATAAAGCGTGTTAAAAATCTAATTTCACGATTAAAAAAAAAACAAAATAAAAAAAAAACAAATAAATAAATAAAATAAAATAAACCAAAATATCAAGTAACAAAAAATCCAATTCTCCCAAAAATCCTGTTAATAAATTAAAAAATACAAAAGTTACATGTGAAAATGCCATAAAATCAGCTCTTAAAGTACTTAATGACCCCAACCCACCTAGTATATGCGCAGCTGCGTCAAAATTTGGTCTTGCAGAGGCAACTTTAAGACATGTATTTAAAAAAAATAGTATACCTGACAATTCTGGCCCCGCAACAGTTTTGAGTCGCTATGAAGAAGAACAATTAGTGGGTTATTGTATAAATATGCAAAAACTAGGATTTGGACTTACATGATCTGGGGTAAACCACTGTGTAATTAATATTGTAAATAGTGATGGCCGTAATCACTCTTTTAATAAAGTGGACCTGGTAAAGCTTGGTGGAAACGTTTTATGAAAGACCATCCCAACCTATCTTTTCGAGTACCTCAAGCCTTGTCAGAAGCACGTGCCCAAAAATCCAATCCAACCATTATTAAAGATCATTTTAATAAATTAAACAAGATAATTTAAGACAATTCACTTACTCTGGATCGTATCTGGAATATGGACGAAGCCGGCTTCATTATAGCTCCTGGTGTTCAGAAGGTTATTGCCACCAAAGGCTCCCGCCAAATTCATAAGGTTGCTCATGATAACTCGCACGATCACATTTCTGTTGCACCAACGATTTCAGCTTCTGGTGATTATATTCCTCTATTAATTATATACAAAGGCATTCGTGCAATTCCTGGCTTATTAAATAGTGCTCCATCCGGTACGGTTATGGGTTTTACCGACTCAGGATATATGTGTGAAGAACTTTTCCAAATGTATATTGAACATTTTATAAGTTCTATTCCTTCTCGTCGTCCTGTTCTTTTAATGCTCGATGGTCACAGCAGTCATATAAATTATATGAGTGTTAATTTTTGTCATGAAAATGAAATTTTACTATATGCACTTCCACCCATACGACACATATTCTCCAACCATCTGAACTTCTTTTCGCTAAACTTAAAACCGAATATAATAAAAATTGCGATCAGCTTCATCATGTAACTGGCAACTTGGTGACTAAGTATACATTCGCTAAAATGCTTGGTTCTGCGTTTATTAAGACTTATACTCCTGCAACGATAGCTAATGCTTTTAAAGCTATAGGAATTTGGCCCTTTAACCCTAATGCCATTAGCCCCCATCGTCTCGATCTCTCTTTATCTACCGAGCAAATTGGTATCTTACTTTCATTCTCTCAACAAAATGATTATCCTTCTATACCATCTTATTCAACACCATTATCTTCCTCACTGTCTTTTTCAACACTATCTTCTTCTTTTTCACCGTCTTCTTCAAGTTCTTTTACACCTATTAGTAATGCAAAGGTTGAATTATTAGAAGCAGAAATTCATACTCTAAGAAGAGAAAATATGCTGCTTAAAGAAGAACTCGAAACGTTTAAAAATCCTGGTACCTGTGCATTAAAATTAGCCCTTAAGTATCCTACTTCTCGAGTTCCAACACAGGCAAATGAATCGGAGTCCAATCAGCCAAAGAAAAGAAAAAACTTTCCCTTCGCCCGACTTCTTACTAATAAAGAATCTCTACAAATGTTAAGAGAAAAGAAAGAGTCAACGAAGAACAAAGCTGAAAGTATAAAACAAAGAAAAGAGGTGGCAGCCCAGAAAAAAGCTAACCAGGAAGCTGAAAAAAAGAGAAAAAAAGAAGAAAATGAGCAAAAAAAGAGGAACGGTTATATAAAAAAAGAAAAGATAATTATGCATAGTTATACTTATCTGTATTATTATCATTATCGTTATGTAATTTTGTAATACTATAATTTCCGACATTAATTTGACCCTATCCACTATGCATCATAATACCCCCAAATGTAAAAAACATAGCATTTTATTAGTAGATTTTGAAAGCTTATATTTCAATAATTTTTCTTTTAAGGCGTTTTTTTTTTTTATTGGTAGATAGTTAATTACCTGAGTAATCTATTTTTACAAATTTTAAAAACAAATAAATTTTTTCTGAAAAGTTTTATATGAACAACTCTTAGGTGCGTCATAATACCTCCCCCTCCTTTACATGTCTTTGACGTATAAGCCTCGTTTTGAATTATCACATGAATTCCTTTCTCTTCTGCTTTTGAAATCAATCATTGTCGAAACTTGTAATGAGACCAACAAAGCACCTTTCTAACTGTTTTCCTTGTTATCTTTCGTGTTTTTCTGTTCACCATGTTTGAAACCTCAAAAGGAGGGATAATAATTATATCAAACTTATCAGTTAAGAACTTGATTGTTTTTCGATGAATTTCATCACGAAGTCGTTTGATCTTTCACTTCATATGAAAAATTGCTTTGTCAACACGTAATGCCTTTTTTTTCTTTCGTTTCGAGGTTGAAGATGCTAATCGGTCCTTGCTTAATATAAGATAATCCATGTGCTTACATAAACGAAAGATACGTCCTATATCATATTCACCTATTTGCCCATACCTTTTGTTGGAAAACACCATGTGAATGGAGTACAAACATCTGAATCAATTGAAACTACATGAATATCCGCTTGTGTTTCATGGATCTGTTTCTGTGTTTCGTATACCCAATGAAATATCCATTCGTTTGTCTTACGTATATATGTAGTTTACGTCACATCCTATTTTTTCCACCGGCCATTTATTATGTTTTCTTTTTTTTTCAAAGTGAAATGGACGTAAGTCACACTTTCCATCTTCTAACTTATTGGTGTTTGATAATACGGTTGTAGAATTATGAATATAAGTAGGGTAAAAATGATTCCAATTTTTTTTAAAAAGTTTTATATACAAATAGTTATTGTCTGTTGTAAGTCTTTCTTAGATTTAAATGATAATGATGATTTTTTGGTTTTTTTTGAATTTTTTTTTATTATATTTTTTCTAGCTATCAATGCTTCACATTTACAAGTACTTTATCATATAAAACTTTAAAACATTATTCTAACCATACAATTGTTCGTAGAAATTTATGTTCTCTCTATACACATGATCTCTGTAATTTTTTATCTTTTTCATTAAGATCTTTTCTTTTTTTTATATTTATGTATAATTTAAGTTTTTCATTAAGCATATGAGGTTTTATCTATTCAAAATTTTTATAACTGTTAAAAAAACGACAATTTTTGTTATATCTAACAACAATATTATAAGCATATTTTATTAATCCAAGCCATTTTTTTAAGACCTTTTTCTAAGAATGATTCGGATATATTTTGATTGATAATGTTCAATTCACAGTAGTTTTGATTTTTCATTTTTTTTTGCTTTATGTTTTTATTGTTTTTATTTTCCTTCATTTTCTGCTCTCTTTGGTACATAGCTGCTCTTTTTCCTTGCATTCGACAGATAAAAACAATAAAAACAACAAGAAAATCTTGTGATTGTCAGAACTTGATTCGTTGAAGAGAACATGAGTTTCGTAGAGTGTAATGAGAACATATATTCAATAGGTTAAATGTGAATCTGCAGAGTTGGTTACAGTGGGTAACCATAATTTCTGAGACTATTTCTTTACTTGGTCATTCCAGTAAGGTCTTAAGTTCATTTTTTTTGAAGTTGATACCTGACCCAATATCATTGATGAACTCATAATTCAGGAATCTGGATTTAAGGATCTATTTCTGTCTTTCAAGGTCTTCTTTTTATTTGTTACTTGAGACACATGTGAATTATTGCAGTATTGTGTTAATTAGTCATTTTACACCGCATAATTGCACATACTGTATTCTTTCACAAAATCATTGTCCCTGCTCTGGTCTTGGCCCCAGCCTAAAAAAAACAAATGTCAAATTTTCTAAATAATATAGGAAACCTTTCTTTTCGGTAATGGAGATGGTTAAGGTACCATTTTGAGTAATTAACTCTGGTAAAAAAAGAAGAAATATCATAGAGATGAGTCCCAGATGGAGACGTTTTTGCAGATATTTTTTCCCTGTTTTAACCAACGTCTCAAAGTATCAGATGAAATCCCGACAAACATGCTCGTAATTTATGTTGATTTATTGTCTACCTTTCCGAATTTGTGGTCAAGTGCCACAATATTTTAGAATTCTGTGATATTCTGTGCTATGCTTAAGAATTCTGTGGTATTCTGCGGGGACTAAGGGTTATTCTGTTATTTTGTGTTTAAGAGAAATTCTGTTGCTTTCTGTGAATCCGCCGTCCCTGTAATAAGATATCACGTGGTTACCAAAACTTGTTATCGTTATGCAAGGGAAATTTTTTATCACATGTGAGCCATATAATCTTTATTTTTTTTCGTAATGGCAACAGTAAAACCTATTAACACAACTTCAATACATAGAATTTGCTCGAGTCAAGTCATTTTAGATTTAGCTACAGCTGTAAAAGAGCTTGTGGAAAATGGTCTCGATGCCCAAGCCAAAACAATCGGTGAATATAAATTTATTAATAGCAAAACGCGTCTTATTGCAAGCCTTAGAAATGAAATTTTCTCGCGTTTTTCTCGTTAAATAGAAATTAGGTTTAAAGAGTATGGTATGCAGTCGATAGAGGTTATTGACGACGGTACAGGAATAGATCAACATAATTTCGAACAACTTGGTAAGCCTTTAATATCATTAAATTTTTTGGATAAACTTGTTAATTTATTGTATTTACAATGATCGATTATTTCAGCTCTTAAACACAGCACTTCTAAACTTTCTAGCTTTGAGGATTTGATAAAACTCGATTCTTTTGGCTTTAGAGGCGAAGCACTAAGTTCTCTCTGTGCCCTATCAAAAGTCATGATTTTGACTTGTACACAGGAGGAGGCTCCCACTGGGTTTAAATTGGAATTTGATTCTCTTGGAAAACTCATTAAAAAGACTCCTATAGCTCGTGAGGTGCACATTGTCATTTGATATATCTGAAACTTTTTTTTGCAAATATGCGGATTAAAAATTATATATAAAAATTCGTGATAAGCGAGGCACAACAGTGATTTTACAAGGTCTGTTTGAATCAATTCCTGTTCGGCATCAAGAATTTAAAAAGAACATAAAACGGGAATTTGGTAAAACATTGACATTACTACAAGCCTATGCCATAATCTGTCAAAATTTGAAAATCACTTGTTCAAATCAACTTAATAAGGGGTAGGTGAAAATACTTTTATTTTAATTATCTATTTCTCGGATTCTATTTAAAATATCTGCACGATTTCGCTTATATTCTTATTCTAGCACAAGAACTGTAGTTCTCAGTACCAATGGGAATAGTAACATTCGAGATAACATTGCTAATTTATTCAGCGCTAAAACATTAACGCAAATTATGCCATTTGATTTTAATATCAAAGTGACACCGGCAAAACTAAAAATGTCAGTAGACTCTGAAAATCAGTCTGAGAGGTAATTTGACTTTCCAATCTAAGTTTGGATAAAGGCAAATAAAATCTATATTTTGATTAATTTTTTCAATTTAACTATAGTGATGTATATCCTATACATATTATTGGATACATATCGAAGCCGATAAAAGGCTTTGGTCGAGGATGTTCTGACAGACAGTTCTATTTCATTAACAGCCGACCTTGCATTTTACCAAAGGTTTATACATCTTTTATAGTTAATTTGTTTAATATATTGGTCTTATATTTTTTTCTGTAATATCTAAAAATAGGTTGCTAAAACTATTAATGAATTTTATAAAAGTTTTAACACAAATCAATATCCATTTTGTGTTGTCAATTTTCGGCTTGAAAAATGTATGAAAATTACTTTATGATTTGAAATATTGATATTTCATTCTAATGTATACCTGGTACAATTTAGGCTATTATGATGTTAATGTCACTCCTGATAAAAGGACTATTTTTATTCATAATGAAAACGGAATCCTTGAGCAGTTGAAGGTAAAGTTGCTTTTGTTAATTATGTTTTACACTTGATTCTTATATATATTTTTTAGCTTGATATTGCATAATTTTAATCTCATTGAATATATTATAAGAACGAAATGAGCAATGTTTTTGAACCATTCCGTTCAACTTTTACGTGCCTTAATACAGAAGGTATAAAATTTTCTACAAAAGAAAACGGCCCTAATGAACTTAATAACATAAATGTTGGTAATACGAAGATTGAATTTAAAGCAACTTCACAAAAGGAAATGAACAATGCTTTTACGTTTACGTGCCTTAATACTGAAGGTATGAAAAAATTGTCTACAAATGAAAATGGATCTAATGAGCTTAATAACATAGATAATGAAGCTGCTGAACAAGAACTAAATAAGGTTATTAAGAAAGATGACTTTGCGATAATGGAATTTAAAACAACTTCACAAAAGGAAATGAACAATGCTTTTGAACCATTTCACTCAACTTTTACGTGCCTTAATACTGAAGGTATAAAAAAATTGTCTACAAATGAAAATGGATCTAATGAGCTTAATAACATAGATAATGAA